GTTTCCGAAGAGCAGCTGGTGAGCTCGAACTGCCGACATTGCTGTTCAAACTGACTATGCAGTCCAGCACATTAACCCACACCAAATGAAACAGACACAGATGAAAATCCTGGAATTCTGAATGTCAAAGGAAAGGTTAGAGAAATGGACAGAGTGTTTGCTGGGAGGAGAAACTGAGCGGGGTTGGTGAGAGGGAGACAGACTGGTGAACAGCAGGCCAGACTCTTGGTGCAACCATCTTTGGCAACAAAGAGGTCTGGCAGAGCAGATTCACACAGGCTATGGGAAAGGTACGATTTCTTCTTTTATCCCACACTTCCCTCCTTGGTAACCAAAGGGTTGGCCAGCTCCCAGCCTCATCCACCCCCAGCATAGACCCTGCACTCCAGGAGTTTGGAACCATGTGGTCAGCTGCACTGCTTTGGTGCCCTGCTTTGGTGCCTGGATTCAGGTGGGCTTGGCCCCATACCTATAGAACCTGCAGAGTCCCCAGACCAGCATTTAACCAGTCACCATGCCCCCAAGCTGCCCTGTGATTTGACCAGACATTGCAATCATCTCCATCAAGGGTCTCCATGAATTACTTCTGGATTGAGTACCCTTAACACGGATAAAACCAACGCTTATAGGAACTCCATTTAGGGCCAAGAACTCTCCTGTCACATCCTTCCCACACCCACATCATGAGATCCTAGGCTTGCAGGAATCCCCCTGAGTTTTCTCCTCTTCGGGTCCAACAGCTATACTGTTGTTTTGGGGTTTGGTTTTTCCCTTTTCTTGTTTCATTGCTTTTGTTTATTCTTTTTCCTCTTCTTTTCATTCCTTTGAGTTTTCTCCTTTCTATCTTCCCTGTTGTTTTTCCTTCTTTTCTTCTGTTTCTCATTTCCTCTCTTCTTCCCTCCCCCGTCCCCCTTTGATCTTTCTTTACTACTTCCTCTTTACTCTCTTCCTCTTTTTATCTTTCTTCTCCCTGGTTTTTTTTTTCTTCTTCTTTCTTTCTTCCATTTATTTTCTCTCATATTTTTCTCTTCTATAGCTCCATTTCCATGCCCCTCTTTTGTCTTTTTAGTTATTAATTTTTTTTCTGGCTGCTGCTTGTTTTTATTTATTTTTTCTCTTTCCATTGTTGATTCCTTTTTGTATATTCAGTTTTGTTTTCTTGTGTGTGGGTGGATGGAGGGATTTTCTCTTCCCATCCAACAGGAGACAGCAACTGACTGTACAGTCCAGCCACAATGGGACCCTCTGCTGTTTCACCCACTTGGCAAGAACTGGTACCAGCTCCTACACCATCTGCTCAATGGTAGACAACAGCCACCTCCAGCCAAACCCACCCTAAATTGAGGTTCATGAAGATAAATGGTGTATACACTTCCATTCTCTAAATACATTCACAGGAGGTAGTTGGTGACAGCCTGAGAATACACCAACATACAATAACCAATAAAATGCAAATAAGACAACCCCACATTGCCCCAGAGACAGTTGACAATTTTAGCTCACATGAAGAAGCAAGAGAGAATGGCTCAGATAAATGACCAAGATGCAGAGCCAGAAAATGTTTCTGAGGAAGAAAAGGTAATAAAACTAACTGAAAAAGAATTCAAAAGAATGATATTTATCTGCCTTCAAAAGATAACTAGAAGGATCAAAGAAAGCAAGGAGAACACAGAATAAACTTTAGAAGAATTCAGGAAAACATTACAAGAAAAAACAAACAAAATAAATGCAAATTTTGAAACAATACAAAACCTGTGAGTAGAAATCTACAATACATTGAAAGAGTAAAGGAGGATCTTCAAAGCAATGAAAGCCTGAATTAGTGAGCTTAAAGATAAATCTCCCAATACTATTTGGTTTGGAGAACAATCAGAAAAAAAGAATGAAAAAAATCCAAAGAAAACCTAAATGTTATGTGAACCACCATGAAGAGTAACAACTTACGGGTGCTCAGAATTCCAGAACAGGAAGAGACAATAAAAAGCACAGAGAAAATTGTTGGAAAGTTGCTGGAAGAAAACTTTCCTAACATCATGAAAGACAAGAAGATAAGCATCAAGAAGCTGAACAAACCCCAAACAGGATAGAGATCTCAAAAGAAAATCACTAAGACATATCATAATCAAACTTTCCAGAAGATAAGTAATGAATCCTGAGAGCAGCTCAGGAAAAATGGAAAGTTACCTACAAAGGACAACCAACAAAGCTAAAAATTCTGATTTCTCAGCAGAAAGGATGCAAGCAAGAAGACATTGGGATGACTTATACAAAACCATGAAAGAAAAAAATCACCAACCAAGAATCACATACTCAGCAAACCTGTCTTTCAATTACAGATATAGTGGTGAAATTAGTATGTTTCTTGATTAACAGAATAAAAGAAATTTGTAATGACCAGACTAACTTTGCAAAAAATGCTAAAGGGTATCCTTTGGACTGAGAACCAGCAACAGCAGACAGCCACCTGAGATTACCATACATGACGACACTACCTAGAACTCTATCCAGATATAGTAGTATTAAAAGTAAAATAAACCTACAAGACTGAAAATGGGGAACCAGAGCTATCAATTTATAATGACATCAATTACAAAGCAAAAAGTCAGAGTGGTGTAGATACAGAACTTCCAAAAGGCAAGGAAGTCAAGTAGATTTTAAGATACAACAGACTGTTTTAAATAGGAAAAAATATTAGTAAATTACAGGTTAACCTCAAAGAAAATGAATATACCTGCACATTAAAATTAAAAAAAAGATCAGAAAGATTTAGTAAACATTAAAGCAATAGAAATAAGGAAAATGAAAAGAAAATCCACAAACAAAATGAACTCAGCGGAGAAGATTGTGTAGAGCAAAGAAACCAGCAGTATCCCACACACACAAACACACAGAAAAATGACAGCAATCAATTCATATCTATTAATAATTACACTGAATGTAAATGGATTGAATACACCAATCAAGAGACAGAACAGAATGGATAAGAAAACAGGATTCTTCAATGTGCAGTCTACAAGAGATGCATCAAAAGATGGAGACGGCCTAAATTGGTATATACATGCAATGGAATACTCCACAGCACTGAAGAAAAAATTGAATTTGCAAAAAAACTCACAACATGGATGAACCTGAAAGGTGTTGTTGTTGTTAAGTGCCGTCGAGTCGATTCCTACCCATAGCAACCCTGTATAGGGTTTCCAAGGAGCAGCTGGTGAGCTTGAACCACTGACCTTGCAGTTGAAATGTCTTTGTAGTCTGGCGCATTAACCCACAGCGCCACACCAGGACTCCTTGAAAGATATTATGCTGAGTGAAATTAGTCACTTGCAAAAGGACAAACATTGTATTTGACCAATGTAAAAAGTTGAGAAAAGGTTTTCTTGATAAAAGAAACAATCTTATGGTGATTATGGGAAGTGAGGGGAAAGGAAAATTATTTATGGACTAGAGCGTAGACACATGTTAACAGGGGTGACAGGGCAGGCAATATTACAACTAGAAGGATGAAGGTAGTGGGAGACACAGGAAGGAATGCAATGTTAAGTGAATAGAGGTAAATGCTATAAACTGTTGGAATATGGAGGGGACTTCAATCCTTGTAATGAAATCAAGTATATGTAATGAAATCAAGTATATGATTTGTTGAATGTAAAACTGATGATGTGCTCTGTATACCTTCATTCAATTCATAATAAAAGGTTAAAAATTTTTTTAAAGACAGAAAATCACCAGTGTACTGAAGAACAGAAACTAAACGAGACAAGGATCTTCCCCCAGAGTCAACAGAGAGAGAAAGCCTTCCTCTAGAGCCAGCTCCTGAATTAGGACTTTGAGCCTTCTAAACTGTGAGAAAATAAATGTGTTTGTTAAAGCCACCCACTCTTGGTATTTCTGTTATAGCAGCACCAAGAAACTAAGTCACTAACCAAAAAAACACTATAAGGAACTTGGGACTCTGTGGCCAAACCTGGCATTGAGAACGGCTCCTCTCTAAAGTGGAATTATGCTACCTCCCAGCTAATGGCTCAGAGCAGAGGGTAACATGCTGCTGCCCATCAGGACAGGGCTTGGGGAGCTGGTGGGTGGTGGCTCTGAGGCAGAGAGGCACAACCCCTGTTCATGCTTGGTTGTAGAGAAGGATAGGAGAGCCTGAATTCAGAACTACAGAGTTTGATGGGAGCTGGGGGTGGGATGGAGGGCATGGGTTCTATTCTGGTTCTACTACTACTTTGCTGTGTGACATTGGGCAACTCTCTTTTCCTTTCTGAGCTTCAATTGGCCCTATCTTTTTAAAGTGAGTGAGATTGAGCTAGAAACGGGATGGATATAGACTTTGTCTCACATGCCCAAACTGACTGGTTGCTGTTGACTTCCTCGAGTCTTGTCTTGAATAGCTACCTGGGCTCCGCCAGAGAGCATGCTGGGATTGTTTAGAGAGGTCTGGCAAATTTAGGATTGGAGATCCCTACGTCGTGTGTTCTGAGTCCTTTCCTGCTCTGGTATTCTTTGATTCTTCTTTATGTCTTTCCATCTCTTACATTACTTCTCCACTGCCTAGAAGCTTCCATGGTGGGGAACACACTCTCTTCTCTCAGAACTGTTAAACTGCCAAAAGCTACCTCCCCAAATTTGGGCCTGGTGAGCTGACTTGGGTTCAGCCCTGGGAGATGTCATTCAGACATAGGTACTTGGAGCTTCAGTAATCAGTTTAGCATTTCTCCTTTCCAGAGTCATACAGACCTGCTTCCTCTAATGTGACAGTGACACTGAGATAGCGTATGTGTAGCCTTTGAAAAGAACACTTTAAAAACATTGTCACTTCATTTATATAACAATCCTGTGAAGCCAGTATTGTCACCTCCATTTTACAGGCGAGGAAGCAGCTCAGTGTTAACAGTAACTAGTGCTCTGAGACCAATCCTGTGTGCCCCTAGCCAGACATGCCCTTACCCCCAGCTCGCCCACAAGTCCATGACCTCCTGTTCAATCTCCTTCCACAGGTTTCCATGTGATCCCCACCATCTCTAGCATCGTCCCCGAGAGCTGCCTGCTGATCGTGGTGGGCCTGCTGGTGGGAGGCCTGATCAAGGGCGTGGGTGAGAAGCCGCCACTCCTGCAGTCGGACATCTTTTTCCTCTTCCTGCTGCCACCCATCATCCTGGACGCGGGCTACTTCCTACCACTGCGGCAGTTCACAGAGAACCTGGGCACTATCCTCATCTTTGCCGTGGTGGGCACGCTATGGAATGCCTTCTTCCTGGGCGGCCTCATGTATGCCGTGTGTCTGGTGGGTGGTGAGCAGATCAACAACATTGGCCTGCTGGCCAACCTGCTCTTTGGCAGCATCATCTCAGCTGTGGACCCTGTGGCCGTGCTTGCTGTCTTTGAGGAGATCCACATCAATGAGCTGCTACACATCCTTGTCTTTGGGGAATCTCTGCTCAATGACGCTGTCACTGTGGTGAGAAGGCGGGGTACCTCGTGTACATGGGGCATAGACCCAATTCCCAGTCTGGGGTGGGGTGCCTCACATCAGCCTGCCAAGAAAACAGCAATTTAAGCAGCTCATGTTCATTCCTGCTTGCTGTGTGCTGGGCTCTGTGCTCACCTCTTTGATGTGGGTGGATTATCTCATTTAATTTCGTGCAGTCCTCAGAGGGATTTACTACTATTCCCATTTACAGGGAAGGAGGACACAAGAAGTTAAATTACTGGCTAGAATATAAGGGAGTCCAATTGTGAACCCAGGTCTGTCAAGTTCTTGGCCTGACCAGGTCATACTTAACCTCTCTGTGACTCAGTTTCCCCATTAGAGAGCATTTGATCTTTAAGGAGACTTTTAGAGTCTCCTCAAATGCTGCTCAATCCAAACGCTTAACTTACAACAAGAGTTGAACAGCATTTGGATTGAACAGCATTTTGGGGGCAGAGATTGTGGAAAGGGGCTTTGCCCCCAACGCTTCCAGAGGTGATAAGTAAAATGAGTTGGTTTGGATTGGCCACATGTTTGCTGTGTGACCCTAGGCAAGTGACCATACCTCTCTGGGCCTCGCTTTCCTTGACTGCAAAGTGGCAGAGTAGTTAGTGCTTTCCTCCCAGTATCTAGAAGGACAGACAGTCCCAATAAAGGGTGTGCACATGGTAAATACTGGACATGTCTACATATACCTTCCACCCTGCCAATTTCTTCAGGTAACAGAGATGTACGTGCACACGCTAATGTCATACTGTGAAAACACTCCTTACCCCTCTCCTAGCTGGGCCCCTCAGAGCAGCTGCACACACAGAAAGACTTACCCCTCCCCCCACACACACCTGATGGTGGTTCCATATGGGGCTGTGGGAAAAGCATCAGGTATAGCCCCACGTTACTAAGTGAGCCTCAGTTTTCCCATGTGTAATGCAGGAATTTCAGTAACTCCGCCTGTTGGCGTCTGGGGTCTCCTGTATGAGTTATACTCACTAATGTCTGAGAACCCACCATGAAAAGGTGTGGAGGATGAAGCCCTCCCCAGCTGGGTGCTGGGGTTCAGGTTTTGTCAGGTGGATACCTCGGCTCTAGCAACTTTGGACTGTAACCCCTAAAGTGATGGTAGAAATTGCTGGGGTTAACTGAGTGTTTCCTGTACCTGAATGTGCATTGCCTCTTCTCATCTGTGGTCACATCGAAGGTTGAGGAAACAGAGGCACTGAGAATTTAAGTTACTTTCCAAGGTCACGTTAGCTGAGTCCAGAGGCCAAGTGCTTACCACCCTCCTACCCTGCCTCTCCTCTAGTGTTAGCAGCAGTAGTACCAGAAAGGAGGGTCTGAGGCTCCGGGCCCAAACCATCAGCCCTGTGGTGGGCCACGGGGACCCATGACCTTCCTCAGGCCAGGAGGGAGTTGAAGTAGCCGTGGTCTATAAAGAGGCCATCTGCCACCAGAGCCCTGCCCTCCCTGTTCCTAGACTACTGTGGTCCAGGCAGCCTCGGGGATGGCGCAGCGCTTAGCAGCTCTCCTCCTGTCTGGCCTCAGTCAGATCTGCTCTTCATCTGTGGGCATGAGTATAAGTACCCCATTTCCCAAAAAGCAAAGTGTCCTAGTCTCAGGCCTTTGCCTTGAAATAGGCCACCCCCACCCCAATGCCACACTCACCTTGCCTGCAAGTAATAGGAGGCTTGGATGATTGCCTCTCAGGGATTCTCAAGGCCTCGTCCACTTCCTCCTTCCCAGGCTTGCATGCTCCCCAGCTGGTTTCCTGCCAGAGCTGTCTAGGACTGGACTTGGAGTGGGACAAGCAGCCGGGAAGCTGGCTAGCAAGGGGCAGAACTTCTGACTGAGCCTGCTGGGGGGGCCCCAGGCCACTGCTGTCAGGGGACAAGTTCTGGGCCAGCTTTCCTGCTGGGACCCTCTGGCCTCAGTTTCCAAGGACACAGGCACCCTCAGCTGCCTGCATCACAAGATGGTTGTGTTGACGAGGATAGCCATCATCAAGGGCCTCTAGAGTGCATAAAGTACCACGTACACGTCTGACAATAAAGTACCACTTACATGTCTGACAGTAATATCACAATTACTGTTTACTTCCCAGCTCAGGAGATGTGGAGTCCTCAGAGAGCCTCCAATTCCACAGCATCTGAACTTGTCTATTCACCTGGGAGCTTGTTAAATAGAGACTTCTAGGCCCCACCTCCAGAAAGTCCAATTTGAATATGGCCTGGCTATGGCACCCAACAACAACAATGTATATTTTCAGAAAGCTTCAACAATTCAGCAATCCTGTACTAGTCCTTGGTCTGAAGGGGAAACAAATCCAGACAGGGACGTGATTTGCCCAAGGTCTTACAGTGAGAGAGGCAGCCCACTGATAGTACAAGTAGTAGCTGATACTGAGTCAGGCACTGTTCTCAGCACCTAACTTTTATTAACTAATTTAGTCCTCACAACAGCCGTAGGAGTTGGTACTGTTATACTTCTATTTTATAGATTGGGAAACTGAGACACAGGAGGTTAAATAACTTGTTCTATGTATATAGCCAGCAAATAGCAGAGCTAAGATTCTAGCCCAAGCAATTTGGTTTCAGCATCTGTGCTGTTAACCAGCAAATCACACTGCCAGTCCGAATTCAGGTCCTCTGGCCATCAGGACTGGTTTTAAGACCTGTTCAGCACTAGGCTGTCTCTGCTACCATGTGGCCTTTCCTTGGGTCCAGTAGAAAGGACGGGACTGCCCTGGGTGGGCCCCAGAAAGCCATGGATCTGGGACCCTGTCCTCCCACCAAACAGTCTGCATACCCACTTCCAGGTTCTGTACCACCTCTTTGAGGAGTTTGCCAACTACGAACATGTGGGCATTGTGGACATCATTCTCGGCTTCCTCAGCTTCTTCGTGGTGGCCCTTGGCGGGGTGTTTGTGGGCGTGGTCTATGGGGTCATCGCAGCCTTCACCTCCCGATTCACCTCCCACATCCGTGTCATCGAGCCGCTCTTCGTCTTCCTCTATAGCTACATGGCCTACCTGTCAGCTGAGCTATTCCACCTGTCCGGCATCATGGCGTGAGTCGTGGGTGCTGCAGGTCAGATAGCAGGGTCATATTGGGGGGCCAGCTAACTTGGACTCCCCAGGCTTGTAGGATTACGAGGGAGCCCCCAAGGGCTGAGCCTCTAGCTCCATCTCCAGCTCTGGGCCATGAGGGAAGGCTCCCAGAAGAAGAGCCCTTCTGCTGGGCTTGGTGGGGTCCTGACTGGGTGCAGAAGAGGAAGCAGTGGGGCTGCCCCTGGAAGTCACCTAGTTAAGGTTTTAGGACCATTCATCCATGCTGCTGCTTCCCTTCATTGATCCCTGATTGTAGCTGGACACAGACACTCACGTTCACTCCCACCTCGGCACCCAGTCAGTGGGCTCCAGGCTTCCTTTGAGACCAAGAATCTCACAGGCCAAGTCCTAAAGGTCTTGAAGTAGGGGGCATAGGCTCTGGAGAGGTGGTGAGGTGCCAAGGTGTTCCTAACGGGAGAATGCTGGAAATGCGAAGCTGGGATTAAACGGGGGGGGCGAGGGGCAACAAACAGTGGGGACATCGGCTAGCAGGAGCAGAGCCCAGCTTTGGATACCAGGCAGAGGGCTTAGGCTACTGATATAGCTCCCATGAGGAACCCCGTGTGTTGAGGGGACACCTCACTCAAGGGAAGTAAAACCAAGAGGCCAGGGATGAATGTAATTGACTCCTGATGCACCCAGAGGCAGTGGGGCTTAAGGGAGGAGCACAGGCTTTGGAGCTAGGCAGACCTGTACGGTTGACAGGAGGCTGGAGCAAGGGCAAGTGTGTGGCTTACATGGCAGGTATCTGAGCCATTGAGGAGAGGAGCTGGCTGGATGGGTCCCTGTCCTTAAGGCACTGTCAGCCTCCCTATGGGAGGACACCGCTCGACTCTAACCCTCTCTCTCCCCCCCCCCCCACCCCGACTCCAGACTCATTGCCTCAGGAGTGGTGATGCGCCCCTATGTGGAAGCCAACATCTCCCACAAGTCCCACACGACCATCAAGTACTTTCTAAAGATGTGGAGCAGCGTCAGTGAGACTCTCATCTTCATCTTCCTTGGTGTCTCCACTGTGGCTGGTTCCCATCACTGGAACTGGACCTTTGTCATCAGCACCCTGCTCTTCTGTCTCATCGCTCGAGTGCTGGGTGAGGCTCCAGGCTAGGCAGGGAAGGGTGGGCATGTGTGGGGAGGAATTAGAGTTGGCTGCTGGCTGTCTCAGCTCAACTGGATGAAAGTGGCTTCCCTGGTTCCTCTTAAGTGGTACCCAGGCTTGTGATGTTCTCAGGGGGTAATCTCTGGAGCGATGGTGTCATGGTATGTTGGGGGAAGGAACCTTAGAGACTGATTTGGAGCCTGGTGGGATTTGAAGAGGGACCTGAGGCCCAGAGTCCAGGGCTATGACACTGAACTGAGGGTTTCTTGATGCCGTATCGCGGCACAGCTGAGTTCAACTCCTACAAACCTATGTAACCAGCCTATGGTCCCATCTGGGTTCCCGTCACACTTTCCAGACCCCTCAGCTTAGTGACACTCTGGGCCTGTCACCTCCTCTCCGTCACCAGGGTTAGGCCTGTAGTCCCTAAGCCTGACTGGGCATCACGTTTACTTGGTGTACTTTTATAAAACTCATGATTTCTGGCCTTCATCCTCCAAGATTCTGATTCTGTGGGTTGAGGTTAGACCCAGGACTCTGAATTTCTTAAGAACGTTTTATAATGGAAAATTCCATACCTCACCGAAATGGAGAGACTAGGATAATGGTCTTCCATGTACATATCTGAATTAACAAGGATCAACTTGTGGCCAAACTTGTATCTTTTTGTCCTCACCCCACCTGTGGCCACTGGAGGCCTCTCTGATGCTTCTAAAGTAGGGGAAATGCTGGGTTATGACCCCTCTAAGGATCCCCTGGCTCTTGGATTGAGGTGTTTAGAGCACCCTGAACTGAAGGATCCAGTAAATGAGTGAATAAGCTGGTTGGGCTTACTATTGGAGGTTTTCTGGACAAGCAGAGAAGTTACTGGTGTCAAAGGAGGAGCTAAGGACAGACTGACCCCTCATCTCCCCGCTCCCTGGCAGGTGTGCTGGGCCTGACCTGGTTCATCAACAAGTTCCGCATAGTGAAACTGAGTCCCAAGGACCAGTTCATCATTGCCTACGGGGGCCTGCGAGGGGCCATTGCGTTCTCCCTGGGCTACCTCCTGGACAAGAAGCACTTCCCCATGTGTGATCTGTTCCTCACTGCCATCATCACCGTCATCTTCTTCACCGTCTTTGTGCAGGTGCTGGGGCAGGGAGGGGCTAGCCGTTGCTTTGGGGACCCTGACTCTGAGTCCTTGAGAAGAAAGTACATGACCCAAAAGGGGACCGGGGGTTCTATTCCCTAACTGGCTATGTGACCTCGGGCAAGCCACTGCTTGTGAAGTGGAATTGTGATGAGTCCTCCCTCCACTAGTATTAGTTACGATCTGTGAAGTCAGGGGGCTGGATTAGACGATCCTGACAAATTACTCTAGCCTGCTGATGATTTCGGTGTATTTAAATGACCCAGGCTTAGTCCAGATTTCTCCCCCGCTATCAAAGTCCCCAAGGATGTCCAGTCTGGGATGGTTGAAATCATTCCACCTTCTGTGCCTTCTTGTCTCTGTCAGCCCTCCATCTTTCCTGCAGAGCCAGCCCTGCAAAGCCCTAGATGGGGAACATCTTTGCTTTCTCATAAGGCAACAATGTAGAGGGACTCTCATGGGGCTGAGTTTATTTTCTGTCCTTTAAAAGAAGGGCAGGCTGCCTTTGTCTTTTAAAATATTTTGTCACCTTGATTTTGAAATTCTAGATGCAAATGGTTTTTCCAAGCCCACTTTCATTAGAAGATAACATTGGGGTGGGACCTCCCTCAGAGCCAGCCTTCCTGGTGTGAATTCTGGCTCCACCCCTTCTGTTGGAGCTTAGAAAGTTACTTAACCTCACTGAGCCTCAAAGTTTTTCCATCTGAAATATGGGACAATGAAAAGATCTACCTCTTAGGTCTATTGTGGGTATTGAAGAACTTGTGTTGTTAAGCACCATCGAGTCAGTTCTGACTCATAGCGACCAAGAGCTAAGACTGGTAAAATACACCCACCTGTGCTAGCATGTTATTTCTGTGAGGGAGGCAGAGCAGAGGTGGTTCTCCCTGCATCCCAGGCATTCTGCTGGATGGCTGTTGAGCCCATTTGCATCTCTACGGAGGCCCAGGCCTAAAGGACCTGCCTTTATATGAGTCCTGCAGTGGGGTTGGGGAGTTCTAACATCCTTGGATCCTGGGAGTTGGGAGTCTCAGAGCAGAGGGGGCTCCCCAGCTTCAGAGGCCCTAGGAAGGCGGGAGGCTCTGTGGCTTCTTTCCACCTCATACCCACCTGCCTCTCAGGGCATGACCATTCGGCCCCTGGTAGACCTGTTGGCTGTGAAGAAAAAGCAAGAAACAAAGCGCTCCATCAATGAGGAGATCCACACACAGGTACTCGAAGAGGGGCTGGGCCAGGAGCTTCCCAGCTTTGGGAGAAGGCTCAGCCCCTTACTCCCTTACCCAGAGCTGGGGGGTTGGGTCCCTAGGTCTTTACCGACACCTGGCCCACTCTTACCAGGAAAGCCTGGTGTGAGGGAGCTACCACTAGGTGGACCTTTCCCTGCCTTTTGATGGAACCTATCTTCAAGCAGGTGGTCAGTGGCAGAGGGCTTGAGACAGTACTTCCTACTTGGGGTCAGGATAAGTGAGGTGTAGGTGCCACCTCCTGGCTACTTTTGGAACTACAAGGCTGGGCAGAGCAAAGCAGTAGCTAGAGTGGGAGGTTGTTAAGTGCTGTCAAGTTGATGCCGACTCATAGCAACCATCCAGTGGGTGGTTGAGGGGTACCTATATAGAAGTCTTGGAAGGGATGGGAGCCCAATTGTGAGGCTTGACCTGGCCCTGGGCCCATTTCAGTTCCTGGACCACCTTCTGACAGGCATCGAGGACATCTGTGGCCACTACGGTCACCACCACTGGAAAGACAAGTAGGTAGAGCTCTTATGGGCAGGTGGGTGGGGAGGGGCAGGGAAAGGTCTCCTGGGGCCTAGGCGTCTGGCTCCATCTATTTCCTTCCTACAGGCTGAACCGATTTAATAAGAAATATGTGAAGAAGTGCCTGATAGCTGGCGAGCGCTCCAAGGAGCCCCAGCTCATCGCCTTCTACCACAAGATGGAGATGAAGCAGGCGATCGAGCTGGTGGAAAGCGGGGGCATGGGCAAGATCCCCTCCGCTGTGTCCACTGTCTCCATGCAGTGAGTGCCAGTGACCCGCCCAGAGCAGGGCAGTGAGCAGGGTGGGAAAGTTTCACTGAGGGACCCCGCCCAGCCCAGCCACTGCCAGGGCTGACCTCCTTGTGACAGCCAGTCAGAGCCAGGGTGACAGTTTTCTTGGGGGACCTAACCTGCACCCTGTTGTCCCAGGAACATCCATCCCAAGGCCCTGCCTGCTCAGCGCATTCTGCCAGCACTGTCCAAGGACAAGGAGGAGGAGATACGCAAAATCCTGAGGAACAACTTGCAGAAGACCAGGCAGCGGGTGAGGCCCAGGGAGCCAGCCTCTTTGTCCCTGGACAGAGGAGCCCCTCTGGCACTGCTGAAGTCACCTGGCCCCTGACCCCTTCAGGCCCCGATGCTGGCCCTGCCCTGACAACTCTGCCTCCCACAGCTGCGGTCCTACAATAGGCACACGCTGGTGGCAGATCCCTACGAGGAGGCCTGGAACCAGATGCTTCTCCGGAGACAGAAGGCCCGGCAACTGGAGCACAAGGTGTGTCTAGGGTTCAAGCTGCGTCCACCATTCTCTGGGAATATAGGCTCTTCTCTCCCCGCACCCACCACCACCTCTGAGGAGAGCGCTCCTGCCGTCTTTTTCTGGCTTCTTATGGAGGCTGAGTCCCAGGGTCCTTGTATTGTCCCCTCAGATCTGAGCTCAAAGAGCCAGTTCATGTGCCTTGTCCAGCCCTCTCATTCAGCATTGAAGAGACTAAGTCCTAGGGGGAGGGGACCTTCCTGAAGTCCTAGAGCAAGCCGTGTGTGCATGTATTCGTTTGGGAATCATTTGCTGAGTGTTTCATGAATGCCAAGCACTAAGATGCTCTGGGTGTCCAGCAGTGACTCAGGCAGGCTTAGGTCTCATTCTGTGCTCAAGCAGGAGAGGGCAAGTGCAGGGGGCTGGGAACACACAGCAGACTAGAGGGAGGTGCAGGCAGCAGGAGGAGCTTGTGTACAAGCCCCCAGTCAAAGAACATTCTAGAAACATTCCTTCAGGTTCTGAAAAAGCTTATGAATAGTGGTAAGGTTTGGGCTTTAATCTAAGGACATGGAGAACCGTTAGGGTTCTAAGCAAGGGAGTGGCAAGGCAGAAGGGCCTGGATTAGGGCCATGGCAGGTGAGATAGAGAAGAATGTATAGATTCAACGGACATTTAGAATGTGGAACTAGTAAAACTTGGTCACTAATTTGAGACGGTGCTAAAGGTCATGGCTAGGCTTCTGATGGGACATTTGGAGTCATTGGCTGCAATAGCAGATGTGGGAGGAGAAACAAGGCTTTGAGGGAAAACGGTGATTGGAGCTCAGTGCTGACATGTTGGATTTGAGATGCCTGTGAGCTTTCAAGGAGCTCTGGCGGCACAGTGTTAAGTGCTCAACTGCAAATAGAAAGCTCAGCATTTGAACCCTCCCGCTACTCTGTAAGAGATAAGAGAAAGATTTACAGCTTTGGAAGCCCTGTGGAGCTGTTCCGCTGTCCTGTAGAGTTCCTACAAATCAGAATGGACACTCTGACAGTAGGTTTCATTGGGTTTGGTGGCCTTCTAATCACAGGTGCTCACTACCAAGTTGCCTTTCTGGGTCTGGAACCTGGAAGCAGCTGTGGGAAGGAGCAGGGCAGGTGGCCAGGGAGAGCCCGGGACAGGCCCTCAGGAACCCCTAACATATAAGGTACAGGTTGTTGTTGTTAAGTACCGTGGAGTCGGTTCCGACTCATAATGACCCTGCACATGGTTTCCGAGGCTGCAAATCTTTACAGGAGCAGAACGTCTCATCTTTCTCCCACGGAACTGCTGGTAGTTTCGAACTGCTGACCTTGAAGTTAGCAGCCCGATTCGTAACCAGTACGCTACACAGGTAGGCAGTATCTAATGAGGAACTGTAGATGAGGTAGCAAGTATCCCGAGAAGGTGCCCTGTACAGAAGCCGAGGGGAAAGAACACCCGGAAGGCTGGTGAGGACAAGGATCTCTCCCACCCTGCTGCCCTCCTCACCCCATCTCCACTTCTCTATCAGATCAATAACTACCTGACAGTACCGGCCCACAAGCTGGACTCGCCCACCATGTCTCGGGCTCGCATCGGCTCAGGTAAGGTGGGGTGTGGTGCCCTGAGAAAGGCCGGACTGGGCTTTGTCACTCCATCCTGAGGGGAGGTTCCAGCAGGCACAGCCTCCTTCATCTCCCCGGGGCCCCTCCCGAGTCAGGAGGGGTTGGTAGTTCACAGCAGGGGTAGCAGAGGAACCCTGTTGTCATCCTCAGGGACAGAGGTGCTTCTCACCATTAGGACTGTGGGTGCAGGCAGAGAGACAAGGGGTCCACACCACTGGGACATCTGGTACCTGTGGGGGGGAGCAACAAAGAGACCTAATTCTTATCAGAGGAGGGACACTTCATAGAAGCCCCTGATCTGAGGAGAGGAACACAGTCCTAGCTTTGAGACCCCATTGAGGGGGAAAAGGCTCTTGGAGAAGTAATTCTGAAGCATATCAGGACCACTGCATTCACAGAAGGAATCTGGAGTGGGCTGACCAGGCTGAGGGGACACTTCTTGCAGGCAGGGGCACAGGCTGGGCAGACCTCGGGTGGAACCCAGCCTGTGCCTTGCTCTTGGTTCCCAGACCCTCTGGCGTATGAACCAAAGGCAGACCTGCCTGTTATCACCATCGACCCAGCCTCCCCACAGTCACCCGAGTCTGTGGACCTGGTGAACGAGGAGCTGAAGGGCAAGGTCTTGGGGCTAAGCCGGAATCCAGTGAGCGTGGCTGAGGATGATGAGGATGATGATGGCATTGTGATGAGGACCAAGGAGGCTTCGTCCCCAGGCACTGATGATGTCTTCACACCTGGGCCCAGCGACAGCCCTAGCTCCCAGAGGATACAGCGCTGCCTCAGTGACCCAGGCCCCCATCCTGAGCCTGGGGAGGGAGAGCCTTTCATCCCCAAGGGACAGTAATGCCGGGGCCAGGGAGTGGTGCCCACTCACCACAGACTCTCCCACCAGAGCAGGGGCTGCTGGGGAGCTGGACTGGGGGGGGGGCTCCCCTCGCCCTGACCTAGGCTGGCCCCGCCCCATCCCACTGCATGGCAGCTGGGCCCTTAGCTCCCGCCACAGCACGGCTTCCCCCAGCCCCAGAACTGCCTTCTCAATCCATTTGGCAGAACTGCTGGGGCTGGTGAGGTAGACCCTACCCCTGCGCTCACCTTGGATCCAGGCTAGGGGCCTCTGAGAGTTTCCTAGGCCTCAGAGACCCCTCCGTAATCCTCACACCCTTCTCCACCAGCCTCCTCATTGAAGCCAATCTTCATATCCAACCAAAGAGCCTCTGGCTCAGCCTTGTCCCACCCAGAAGGAAGGAGTTGAGGCCACCCTTAGTCTGGGCCAGGTCTTTCACAGGGAAAGAGGGGCGCCAGGCATGTGGCCACGTGGGGATTGATGAGACCCATGGCAGTGCCACCCTGCTCCTGCCCATTCCATCTCCCAGCCAGCCATGCCATATCCTCACTCAGAGCTTTGGGCTGAGGGCAGCCTCTGGCTGGAGCTGAGGTGTTCTGCACAGTGAGGGGACGAACTCAGAGCTTGCCACCCTGTGTTCCTGCAGGTGCCATGGGCTCTTTAGGGGCTGATGCCAGGGGAGGGGCTCCAGAACGCCCTGCCTTTCTTTCTGTTTTGTTTGTTCATGCCTCAGTGTCTGATTTTGTTTGCACAGAGGGCACTTCTGGTTTTAAAACATTTTTACACTCCTGTCTTCCCTGAATTTCCCCCTCTAACTCATTCCACCTGCTCCAGAGAAGTAACTCCTCCTCACCTGTGCCTGTGTATCAAACACCCACCCCCAAATCAGTCCCCTGCCTCCTGGGCTCTCAACTTTGGCCCAAACATGGCTCTGGTTTCAGAAGTGGCCTCCCCCTCCCCCAGAAATCATGATTCACTCCCATTTCACAGATGCTGGGCATTCCGGCACCTTTGTTTTCAGACCTGATCTTTCTCACTTCTCCTGTCCCTGGGTTGGCCCCTGGGGATTCTCCCTCTCATGTGTACCCCACACCCAGCTTGCTGTGGAGCCCAGCCCTTGGAGGAGACAGCCTCCCAGAGGATCTGTCTCAGCCAGGGTTGGTAGGTTGGGAAGAGACCTGGGCCCCCAGAGGCCTTTGCTCACTGGCACATATACCCACCCCCACTGGGCTAGGCACAGGCCTATTGGTGTCTGCCCTTCATCCCCAGGGGACCCCCTTCCCAGGATCGTGCAATAGTCCAAGTGTCCCTCTTCCCAGTGGACTGGGCAGTGGGTCCATCCCCTCTCCCTGCAAGTGCTGTTTTGGGCAGGAGTCACCACAGAAGGGTGACGTCGACAACCATGTACAAAGCCACCGCAGCTGCTGCCGCTCTGCCGCCAGTACAGAAAAAATGGAATCTTTTTCATATTCTAATAAATCAGTGTGAGTTTTTAATAGAATTGAGGACTGTTTTCTTGGGGCCAGAGGCTTTGGGGAGGAAGGTGGCCTGGGGGCCTGAAGTACTTAGCTCAGTGGCTGACACAGAGAAGCACTTAATAAATGTCAGCTGCTGGGGTGGTTATCACCAGGCTCCAAAGATGCAGCAGTGAGCAAAGCAAGATGCTCTCTGCCCTTAGGAGCTCTCAGTCTAGTGGAGGAGAGGCGCTTCATCAGAGGGAATAGTAGGGTGGAGTGGGAGGGCGATTTTCCTGAGTAAATAATATCTTAGGGGAGACTTACGGGATAATCCAAGGTTAACCAGGTGAAGAAAGTTCCCAAATAACCTAGGCTGGGAGCTGAATGTGTGAAGGTTCTGGGTCTCAGGACAGACAGGTGTGGCTGGGTGATAGTGTGGTAGGCTTTGCAGTCCACGGTTAAGACTGGATAGTGGAAAGTCATTGGAACCTTTGGGCTTGTATTCTCTACTGTAAAATGGGGACAAACCCCCTGGATGTAATATGCTTATGATGGACTCAGCACAATGAACCCCTGCAGTGTACTTCCATGAGCTGACCACCAGAGGGCCGTGGAGCTTTGGTACATACTCCAGGCTCCCTGCAAATGGGCTGTCCTGGAAAGCACCTCCTTTGCACCACCCAGGGCCTATGTACAGATCTGGTTTGACTTAAAAAATCTGAAGTGGTCAGTGACAAAAAGATTAGGGAGGGACTACACTTTCCATTTTTGTCTCAATTGATGTGCCCGTAGGAAGCAAAGGGATGCCAAAGAACTTTCAGTGAAGGGATTGTTTACAGAGGTGTGGACAGGGCTAAGGGAACCCACACAGGATGGAACCTAGTGGGGCTTACATTATATTGCAAGCCCCAGACACAAAAGGGCAAGAGGAGGGAGCTGTAACAGGTGAGAGTTGTAACTAGGAGAGGGGCTTCCAATATCACAGCCCCTAGTGGGCAAGGAAGGCAAAGAGTAACTATTCTGACTTCTTTGATCCGGATGGTACCTCCCATTGGCCAAACCCAACTGGAAGTCTGAGGGTGAGCCCAAAGATGAAGTCCCTGCCTACCAGTGAGGGAATTTAGAGGGCAAACAGGAGAGCAGCAGCTTTTTCTTTTGCTCCTCAGTGTCCATTCCTGTCCTTTAGGTGAAAGACCCATGTCTCCAACAGGGGAAACAAAGTCTCCTGAGACACTGTATCCTGTGGAGTTGTGTCAGTTCATTCATACTCTAAAGGAAGCACTCCTCCTTTGTAGAGTACAGCCTACAAACCCACTGGACTCAAGAGAAAGAAAGACAAAATTCTTCTGTTGGATTATTTGGAATAATAGAGGAACCATTCTCATCTCCACCTCTTAGTCCCTGGACTAAGTCATATATTGGCCGCTGAATAGTGTCATATATTGGCCCCTGAATTCAAGCACATACTGTATTCTGTCCATCACCAATCCAACTTTACAGTTTCTACACAGGCGCTATAATGCACCTTCTGCAGGTGATTTATTCAATCAACTTGTAAGTGACAGGGCACATTGTAAGACCAGTATATTACATAGGTGAGAACCATTGCTCTATGTCCTTCGCCATAAAATGAATTCTTGGTTGTAGGTAAGTAGTATGTGGGATGGCACAGTGATAAAGTATTCTGGGAAATCCTGAAATGATGGTGCTGACAGAGCATTACAAACAAGATGGCAAGTCCATATCAAGAATATGAGGGAAAGTCCAAAAATATTGCTACTAGGGTTCCAGTCCATACATGTACAAGTTTATCCCAAGCAAAACATTGAAACATGTCTCTGTGATTAGTGGATGGCTACAAATTCTCGTAATAATACATTTGTTTTAGTCTCTTTAGGGTGCCTTCAAAAACTAAAAAAGGTCTGATCAAAACAGTGACTTCCAAAGGGATCAGCTGGGCCAGTTCAATTCAAGGCAGAGAGGTCAGCTCAGAAGGTTATGGTGACTGGTTTTTTGTTTGTTTGTTTGTTTCCAAAGGAATCATCTTAGTAGATTTTCTTGAAGGACACAGGACCGTCACAAGGGTTTAATAGAAGTTTTAAGAAAACTGAAAACAACATTAATGAGAAAAAGACGTGAAAAGTGCACTGAGAAAAAATTTTTTTCTCTCCCATCACAACAATGCACCTGTTTATTCTTCAAGGGTTGTCCTAGTAGAATTTTGTTGGGAAACTTCACCCCATCCACCCTACAGCCCTCTTTTTTTTTTTAAGATTTTTTTTTAAATCAAACTTTTTATTTCAAATTTAAAATAAGGTTCTTAAAAGTTTCAATTTGACCAGATAGGAAACTATTTTAAAAACCTTAAAGATGTATTGAAAACCAGGCTTTTTAAAAACGTTTGTTATTACCAAAAAGAGAAATCTCTAGGTAAAAATAAAAACCTTATACTGCACAGGTGGCTCTAGCTATCTGGTCAACGGGCAAAACACAAGCTAAAATTTAAGGGCTTCAGCTCCAATCTTTTGTTCATTTCTTATTGCTGGAATTTCACATTCATGTCTACTTGTTGAATGTCTAAACCAGATGATGGTGGAGATGGTAAGCCAGCATTTACTCAGTATCTACTCCTGCTCGGCCTTGTGGTTTAGGGTTTTCTGGGCATCTGCATGGTAGTTGAAGTTGTAGCAGTACCTACAATGAGGTGGCTGCTGACCTTAGGTCTGATCTTCATTTTCCTTATTCCCTTCACTGCCAGCCTCCCTAGGCTGTCTTTGGAGAAGAAGGCTCCTGCAAAATCTGAAGTTGTAGTCTATAACACCGATACATATTCTGTCTCACTGGTCTCCCTTGTTCTCCTGCACCCTAGTTGTCAGCACCCTTCATCACTTCTTCCCACACACAAGGGTTGAAATACTGTGGTCTACACCCACAGGGCAGGTAGTAAGGTGGGAACTGTTGCCTGTGGTAGGGTCTGCGCTGTTGGGGCTGGCCTTCAGGAGCACTCTCTGATCCCCAGGCTGGTAATTTTACTGGTGATTGCGTGGAGGTCTCCTAAGACCTGGGTAACATCTATAGTGATTACAGTCTGCTGCATATTACTGCCTTGCACTGGAACAGCACCAAGGCCTACAACATTTGCTACCTTCTGCCCCCTGTTCTCTTTCAATAACATCAAACTCCACAGTCTCTCCTTCTACACTGCAAAGGTACTTCCTGGGGTTATTCCTTTTTATGGCTGTCTGGTGTGCAAATGCATCTTTCTTTGTGTCATGCCTCTTGCTGAAACCACATCTGTTCCTTACATTGAACCATTTTACAGTTCCCATAACCTTTGTTGTGCTGATTTTTGTGTCCCTGTTGGCAGGCATCACCAGCCTGTGGTCTCCTGGGCTCCAACTTTGGTTGGGCAGTGCTGAGGGCAGGGCGGCAGGTGGGTGCCTGCTGGGTCTCGACCCTGCTGCTCACGGTTGTGGTGATGGTAACCGGAGTGGCAGGGGTGGGGGGGTTGGTTGTAGCAGCTCCGGCTCCTCCCGGGGTGTG